CGAGTCAGGGACTGCGTAATCATTACCGGATGCCCGCTATGAGTAACATTTCTGTAGAGATATGTTGATACGAAAGATGTTTCAACTGTTATGCGATAAGTTATAACTTCTGAAATACTATTTTGATTATGTGAACGAATGTCCTATTTGTAAATCTATTATGGCATCCACAGATAGTCCCAAGTCATGGGGGACGGCATGAAAATGCGGATCAATGACACATATATGGTACGAGATCTCATTGGCCACTTCATTATGGTGATCTATGTTTCATTGATATCCGGAACCGATTACTCTAGTTGGAAGACGATATGTGATATGTTCTGTGAGATGTACCATTATGTTATATTCTGATATGAGACTAATATGAATGATTGTGTCATGATTTGTTTTATGAATATGTTATATTTGGAATTCATTCACTAACCCCTTTACTTTAATGTTATTCGATGGGCTTTAGCTCACTGTTTTTATGTATATGTATAGGTGAACATTCTGGAAGTCAAGTCTAGAAAAGTCTTTAGCCAAACCACCGTTTTGAAGCCTATCGACTTATTTTGAGTGCCTCTGAGTTAGGGCTAGGCCTGGAAGGCCGTTGTCAAGCTTTTGATCATGATGTACACTTTCGACACATGCATATATATTATGTTATAAGTTATATATCATTATACGAGTAAATTAATGTTTATATATTACATGTCTGTTCATATAGATGTACAACTCATTAGACAGCCCCGATTATTTTTTATTGTACAGGAAGGCCTTTGGTAATCTTGGATTACTGGCCGGTTACGACACCAAACTTATAGGGGATGGGTTTGGGTCGTGACAGGTTACCTCAAGTATTCAAACAAACCGACACGTGGATTGGACTAGTGTCTATGTCCTGTTTTATGAGCGCTCTAGAGTCAAGCCTTTGGACTCATAGAAAGCGGCACTACGTCCTACACTCACATAGGTGAGCTTACTAAGAGTACCCCTATAATTTACAGTACCCTAACAACCCAGTTGTAAGCTTATTAAAAGTTTGTTAACTTATCCTTTTATTTTCACATTACAGTACCAAGCACTTCAACCTTGAGATGAAAACGAAATAAAAGTGCTTGTAATTACGACTTATTGTGTACTTAGGCTCATTAAACTCAAGACTTGATGTTTCTTCAAGCGTTGAGTCAAGTTTTCACCAGGAGTGATTAAGTTAAGTGGGCTTAAGACCCATCCTCTTTGATGTTTTCCAAACCAAATCCCTTGCAAGTCCATTTATTAAGGGATTAGCCAAGTTTTCACTTGACTTTACATAACCAATGGTAATCACACCTTCTATGACTAACTGTCTGATACAGTTATGTGTCAGTCCTATATACCTGGACTTTCCATTATAGACATGGCTATAAGCTCGTGATAGAGTTGCTTTACTATGACAATGCAAAGATATTGGTGACGTAGGTTTTAGCCATAACTTAATCTCTAACAAGAGATTCCTTAGCCACTCTGCCTCTTTGTTACAAAAAGCCAATGTCACAAACTCAGACTCCATAGTTGAGTCTGCTATGCATGTTTGTTTCTTAGAACCCTAGGAAATATCTCCTCCTCCAAGAGTAAAAATCCAACCACTCATGGACAAGTGACCTTCATGGTCAATTATCCAATTGGCATCCGTGAATCCTTCCAGCACTACTGGATAGCCATTATAGACTATTCCATAGTCTATTGTTTTACTCAAGCACCTAAGTACTCGGTTAATAGCATGCCAATGCACACTACTGGGATTACTAGTGTATCTAAGTTTTTCCACTGCACATGCAATATCAGGTTTAGTGCAAGTCATGGCATACATCAGGCTACATATTACTCTTGAGTATTCTAACATCTTTTCCAATATTAGGATACAATTTCAAATTTGAATCAAAATGTATAGACATGGTTGTACAATTATATTGATTAAATTTCTTAAGAATTTTCTCAATATAGTGCGATTGGGAAAGAATCAAATTATTTTCCTCTCGTTTGATCTTAATACCTAGAATTACATCAGCCAAGCCCATGTCTTTCATACTAAAGCTAGACAACAAGAAAATTTTAGTACTTTCAATGACATCATTGTCAGTATAAAAAATAAGCATGCCATCTACATACAGGCATGTGATTACACTTTTATTGCCAATAAACTTACTGTACACACACTTATCAGATTCATGTATCCTAAAATCATTTGACACTATTACTTTGTCAAATTTTTCATGCCACGTTTTGGAGCTTGTTTCAGTCCATATAGTGACTTAACGAGTTTACACACTTTGTGTTCTTGACCCTGTACAACAAATCCTTCCAGTTGTTGCATATAGATTTCCTTATCTAACTCTCCATTTAGGAAAGCAGTCTTAACATCCATTTGATAGATTTCAAGTTTGTGGATTGAGGCTTAGGCAATCAACACTCGAATGGTGGTGATTATAGCCACCGGAGCATATGTATCAAAATAATCAATACCCTTCTTTTGAGTAAAGCCCTTAGCAACTAATCTTGCTTTGAACTTGTCAATTGTGCCATCAACTTTCATTTTCCTTTTGAAAATCCATTTACAACCAATTGGTTTGGATCCAAGTGGCAAATCAACAAATATCCAAGTATCGTTACTCATTATAGAATCCATCTCATCATTTATTGCTTCTTTAAAGCAACATCTTGAAACTTTATAGCCTCATTAAAGGTTAATGGATCTGAATCCATGTTCAAATAAATCATTGTTTGCTTGCAATAAGCTTTCCTAGTTCCTTCTACAAGGTAAACAATGAAATCAGGGCCAAATAATTTCTCAGTCCTGGCTTTCTTACTCCTTCTTAGCTCAACAAGCTCATTAGATTCATTTGGCTCAATAGGCTCAATGGGTTCACTTCGTTCACTTTCCTCTATAAACATCAAAGGAGTTGATTCATTTCCTTGATTAGAATCCAACCTTGGAATGGTTGTGAAACGATTCTCATAAAATACCTCATCATGTGATTCAATGATGGTATTTGTTGAACTATTGGGGTCTACAACCAGAAACTTATATGCTTTGCTATGAATAGAATAGCCAAAAAATATGCATTCAATTCATTATTCACCTAATTTCTTCCTTTTAGTTTCAGGCAATCTGACTATTGCTCTACAGCCTCAAGTTTTCAAGTAACCTAAATTAGGTTTCTTGTTTTTCCAAAGTTCATAAGGAGTAACATTTCTTCCCTTGAGAAGAATGCTATTAAGTATGTGACAGGTAATAAAAAAAGCTTCACCATAAAACTCATAACTTAAACTGGAGTAAGAAAACATAACATTAATCATTTCTATTAATGTCATATTCTTTCTTTCAACTACTACATTTTGCTATGGCGTGTAGGGTGTAGACTTCTCATGAATAATACCAACATTTTCACAATATTCTGGAAAATAGTATTTACCGCTTCTATCAGACGTAAGTCTCTTTATTTTGACATTAAACTAATTTTCTACTTTTGTCTTAAAAATTTTAAATTTATCAAGCACCTCATCTTTTGAATGCAATAGATAGATATGATAGTACTTAAAAATATCATCAATGAATGTTACAAAATATTTCTTACCACATCTAGTGGGGGTACTATGCATGTCACATACATCACTATGCACAAGTTTAAGCAAAGATGTGGGACTATTCACTTTAAGAAATGGAATGCTAGTAATTTTAGATTGCACACAAAATTTACATTTTTCAAACTTATCGATGTAATACTTTAAAATCTAAATTAACCATATCATGCATTTTCCTAGTATTAACATGACTAGTGGCATCCTCCACAAGGTATTTTGATTACAATATGTCCCAAGGTTGTTTTGTTGTTTCCAGATGTTGATACACATCCAATAGAGAGTCTGACAGCGCATTCAAAATGTGTCCTCAGCAAATGTAGTTGTCATTCTCCCATTTGGTCTAGTACGGGTTTGCTCCCCCGCCTTGTCTTCTTGCGAAGCACCATTTTTGTGGTGTAAGTGCATGCACACTAGCATCCATTCCACAAATTCAAAGAAATATTACATGTAGTCCCTTATTAAGTGCTCCATATTTTTCTCTCTTCCCAATATGGGACAAAGCCCACAAACTTATTTCAAACTTTCCAAAGAAAAACAAGAAAAGTTTTGAAAATACCCAAAACCTAAATTATAAATTTTGAAAATTATTTTGAAAATTTCCCAATAATAAGGAAGGTCTTACTTCTTGTTCAGTAAAAATATTTTGTAAAACTATTTTGTAAAACTAAGCTTATCCCTATCACATAATGAAGTAGAGAGATCATAGTGTGATTACAAAGATTGATTGGGATATGATAGGATCTAAGCATGTAGAAGTTCATATCTTGTCATTTTTCTTTGATAGTTTTTGTGCACACCATTGGGGCGTTGATCTAGCAGTGGAAGCAATCATGCAAAATATTGTGGCATTCATGCTAAGAAAGAATGTTTCAACTTTCCAGGGCAACCAACTAACCACTAATTTGGTTGATTGTCAATTACATGCAAAACCATCATGTTTTGCCTTGGTTGCAAAAGCTCTATGACTAACATGCCATGCCTTGTAATTTTCCTTCCTTTTAAGATTTGAAAATCTACTTTTGTTACTTTCACTAGGATGGTGAAAATACATTTGTTCATGAATAGTTTGATCCCAAGTAGTCAAATGTTTAATATGATTTAGCAATTGAGTCGAGTAGTATTAAATTCAGCTTAAAAATACTCTGTAAACACAAGAATATATAGATTACTTTTTTATCTTTAATTTTTTGTTTTAAATTTATTGTTTGCACAAATTTACATGTTTAATTGATGAACTTTATTAATACTATTGTGGTGGCATATGTGAACCACCCACAAGGCTATTTTATTAAAAATAAATAAAACTTTTCAAACCTTTGTAGTTCAGTTTTTCAAATCTCAAATATATATATATATATATATATTTCAAAACGATAATGAAAAAAAGAAAAGAAAAAAGAAACTCGTTAGCAATAACATTAATTTATCTATGTTATGGGGGGCCTAAACATGAGATCCTCCTCATGCCAGGAAATGGTTTCTGCAATACAATTTTTTTCCCCATATTTATTTCTACCATGAAAATACAAATAATTACCTAAAGAAATCTTCAGCAATTTCCTACCAGAGTTGGAAGAACTATAGCAAATGGAGAAAGAAAAAATAAATTACACAAACTACAAATGAGAGAAGAAAATGACGCCACAAATTTGATTGTGATTCATCATTTTTGCTCATCAGATTGATTCTTTGTTCCGATGTCCCTAATTCCAATGTCCCTAATGATTGACTGTCATCCAAATTAGGAGAAGAATCGAGCCACCTATGTGCACAAGTAGGCTTATGATGCAAGATTTTTTGCATTCCATCCTGCATTGCAATTAGAGTTCAGTAAAATTGTGAAACCCCTTATCATAAAAACAATGAATTGGAGTAAAAAAAAATTAAAGAGAGTTTGTCATTCAAAAATACAAACCTTATGTTAAAATTAGGACCCTTCGAAGGAATTAACAAGGTCTTCATTAAATTCACCAAATATATTTGGGCATATTTCCCATTTTCCCTGTTCTCGTGCTTCCCAATAACCACCCATGTAAGAGAAGGGTCCATCTTGGCCTTCCCTTTGAAACCATCTGGGCTTCCATCCATTTTCTTGTAATTTCGTTGACTGTATAGAATGAGAAGAATTATGATCACCACCAACAAAAAAAATACTATAAGGTGTTAACAAAGATGTATATTCTTGCCAAAATATGGATGTGAATTTCGAAATTAGACATTAATGTACAATCATTTTTTCCAACTATAAAATGAATGTAGAATGTTCATCTGTACATAGGACCTATAGTGGCGTGGAAAATTAGATCGAAATAGTGTAAAGAATGATCAGATTACTGCTGCATTTGCACTGTGTATCTATAGGCAATTTATATGGAACCACAGGAAAGAGAGCCAACAAATCAAATCGGCGAACAAAGGAATTGAAAATGATGATCTGCATTTCAAAAGAGACAGAACTACAACATATCTAGATGCATATTGATATTCCTATGCTGTTCTTTCAGTCCTCAGTTTTGGTTTATGTGTTCTGCTTTAGAAACTTAGACTTCAATTTTCATTCCCTCCCTAAAATAGTAAAAGAATATACTTCACACAACATCTATTGATGTAATGAGCTACTCAGTTGGTTTCTCTCACTCATAGAATGGTCAGATTACGTGTTTTCTTGTGACAGTTGTCTCAAGAGGAAATTATATATTACAATCTATTTTTTGTTTTTTTTTTGTTTTTTTTGTTTTTTTTTTTTTTTTAAGAAGAAGAAGAAGAAGGCATGTGTGTTAGGTGTGGCTGTGTTAGGTGTGGCCGTGTGGATACATATCTAGGCATCGAATTCATCTAATTTTCATGTCTAATGACACGGGAACAAGGCAAAAACATTCATTTTTCTTAATATACTTCTGCATTACATGGGAGTTTCATGCATAATTATGTGGTAAACTTTAATTACTAAACATGCTTGTATAAATGATCACAGGTTAGGATACGATGCCTAATTTTGATCATTTGTAGGATTCCTAACATGTGACTTGCTCTTATTCTTATCCAGGTCTTATTCTGCCCACACAAAGTTCATTGGTTTCTTTGATCTAGTTTTCTGCCACCAAACAAGGGTTATAGCATAGCACGCCAGATGTTCGGGCCTTTAAGAAACATCTATTGAAATTTCAAATCCAGTTTGACAAGTATGTCAAAATGTCATTTGTTCCAAATCTCCAAACTAGATAAGAAACCAGTCAACAGATAAAGAAAACAGGAACATGTAGATCATGGAGAAACAATTAAAAGTGCTAGACATACCATCCTCTGCCGTCTCTCCAACCGTAGCTTCTCTGCATTTGCCTTTTCATATTCCCCATTCTCAAGATGCCGTTGGTCTGGTCTAAGTCTTGAATCTGTGGGTGGGAGTTTCTCCTTAATCCGTGATCAAACAGCCGGGATCAGACAAAACTATAAAAGACAATTAGAGATGCATAAGAGGAAAATTAAAGCGCATATGAAAATTTTGATCTACATCATCTCTACCTGCAATCCTGGAGTCAACTCATTTAGAGTAATTGCAAATGGCGTCATGTTGTACCGGGTGAGATTAGAAGGCATGCACCTTTTCCACAACAAAGATGCATTCAAACAATCCTTTGGTTTGCTAGTCCCATCTCCATCCATATAATACACACTGTCATCCCATTTTCCAAATAATGTGGCAGCCTTTTTGCCAATCACATCTTCAACAAATCCATGAACCTGTCTAGCAAGAAGTATGTTTTTAGTGGAGCCAACAATAATATTCCAAAAGAAAATTAAAAAAAAAAATGAATTAAAAGGTACAATGCTGCAGCAATTGGATGCATGCAGATGTAGAGAGGTGTCAACCACCAGACCAACTGACCCAAATAAACAGCACTTGGTAAGATGACAAGGTTCCTTGAAAATAAATAAGACGTAAATGCATGAATAGATTGCAACTGCAAACACAATGCATAATTTTAGTATAACAGAGAAAAAAATCTTTATTCACCTGGTGTGGATTTCGGTCAAGAATAGATTGCTCTTTGAACTTGAGTTTGCATGAATATTGGCGATTACCGCGTATATGCATCATTCCATGGTGATCAAGGTACACTTTGCCAAGAATAAGATTACAAATGCTTGTTGTGACCTAACAAGTTTTAGGAAGTTTTACCGTATAATTAGAAGGAAATGGAAGCAGTAAGATTAAAACAATTTAGCATTCTATATTTGCTGCAAAAGCTCAACCACATCACAGTGCACACCTTGCTCCACTGGAAAATCTCGCCATCATCAAACTCTAAAGTTAGAGTTCCAACAGGGTTAAGCTGAATTGACGTCCCCCAAAATTTGGTTCTAAGGTTACTGTCACCCCAGAATTTCCACCCTATTCCTTCACAATGGCATGCAATGAGGGTTGGGTGGTGACTAACCTGTTTCAACAAACAACAAAGATATTATAACATCATAATCATGCTTAAGAATCCAACATTTACTACGCAAAAGAATAAAAATTACTCGAATCTGCCTAAGAAACATAAATATTAATGTCGAACACATTCAGCCCTTCTGTAAAGGTCTATTTAGATGTGAAATAGTTGTTCTACGATTTTGTCAAGATTTTATCAATTTTATCAGCCACAGGTCATACACACCAATGTGATAGGTTTATAAGATGTGGTCATAAATTATTCACATCATCCCAGATAGGCAATGGAATATAGTCTCTAAGCCTGAATTTAGGTACCAGGCCATCAAGGTTTCCTTTTTTTGTTATGAAAAAACATATAAAGCATGGGGAAGTGCCATGTAATAAAAAATACAATCTACCGTAATAAGCCTGCAGCAAATGTTATTCTTTCTTTTTTTTTCCCCTTTGCCTTTTTAATTCCATACATGTAAAGAATCAAGATACTGAAATTGATGATAAAAAATATAAATTATTATTATTGTACCATTAATACATAATACTATTAGTATTTTTTATTTGGTTGTCTTTTTATCTTTGGTGAGAAAGCAAGGGTCGAAAAGGCTTCAAGTGGATATGTGACATTCAACGTTGGGCATAAATTGGGAATAAATTACAATGCTGCATTATAATCATTTAAGTGTGTCAGTTGACTGACAGTTGATAATTTTCTGATTCAGATTTCTCATGTAGTGTAAGATATTATTTTGTCACTATTAAATAGTTTGTTTTGTTCTCTCTTCAAAACTAACGGTATTTGATTTGCTTGATGGTGTGAAAACTCTGCTTAATTAATGATATGCTAAATTCATTACTTAATTAATGATATGTTCCTCTTAGGCGTGTGCAAAACTACAATGACAGTAGGAAAACTAAAGGAGAGTAGAGGGAGGAGTATTAACAGAGCTGAACTCCATTTCATCATTTCAAATATTATGAATTTCAGTCCATATTTCAACACAACGATAGGTCACACCTCTTTTTGCTTGTTTCATTGTCATATTTAAGGGTCTCTCAAGAGATCGAAATACGAGATATTTTCTTCCACCTTTTTGCTTGGACTTTTCCAAAAAACAACAAATCAATATATGCTGTCAGTTTTTTCCTGTTTAAGAAATTTATTGTCATATTTTCAACATCCAAGGCTGCAAAGCTCTTATAGGAAAAATTTTACCCCAGTCTACATTAAATCAATTATTAGACCATTGTTCAAATTAAGTTCATTATCAATGATTCTCCTTTCAGTAGACACTGACCTTCTCAGAGAAAAAACGAATTCCTTTCTCAGGATAGTCAGCTTCATAAGTTTCCCCTAACAACGGATTAAAGGGTTTACAATGCCGACCTTCAGAGGAAGCATATCCAGAAACCGCAAAAGCAGCTACATTTAAAGCTCTCATCAGACTGTTCCCCTAGAAGCATAAGACAAGACCCCAAGAAAGTAAAATGATAAACATCAACATGTACAAAAACAAACTTATCTAGAATAAATATTTGAACTGAATTACTCTTTGCAGCAAACAAGTCATAGAAAGCCAGATCTCATAGGTTAAGAATAAAACTGTAAACAGGAGAAAAGAAAGACTACTTCCTATAAAGGCAAGTCTGTCATGCAAATAGAAAATAAATAAATAACAGTTTGGAGACTACTACATAAAGATAAAAATATATAAAGCTCAATCAGTTCACAAGTATCACTGAGAAAAAAAACAAGTAGTCCAATTGCAAGGATCTTCAAATGGAAAGTATGGAAACCCAAAATCATTTTAAGCCAAATGCCATATATGTTTAAAACAAGAAATGATACAGATGCTAGTTCATTATTAACTACACATCCACTCAAATATTCATGCAATTAATAAAACAATCATGTCCGATTGATGTTAGGGTCATTCATAAAATTAATAAATCCAGCACCGTATTACAAAATTCTTAACAAATTTCTCTGAGAAATTTTGTACAAAAAAAAAATATCTCACATTCACTCATAGCTGAAGTTCTTGACCAGTCAACTGTCCTGAGTGCTTCATTTCAAATGACTGTTAAGAAACCAATGGCACACAACCCATTCCGTTGTGAATACCCAATCAATCTAGTTCACTTTGCTGAACACGCCATCTATTTTGATGAACACCCAATCTATATCTCATTAACTATTATAAATATATAATACCATCAGTTTTAGTTTAACAATAATGCTATGATAACACATTTCTTACTATGCTTTGTACATTATTTTATGTGTCAACACTGCATTAGTTACAAGCAATGAGTGATGGAACCCATTAAACTAATACAATGTTGAAACATAAGATGGTAAACAATTTGTGATATATATGTATATATGGTCAACCTAACATTATTGTTAGTTGAATTAGATCAAAATTGAGGCAAATCTTCATTCTCTAAGACAGAAATACAGGTATGACTCACTAACGCTTTCTCTCTGTTAGTTTATTTGCTTGTGAAATTAGCATTGGTTTTATCAGTTGCAACTGCAACTGTTGAAAGAGCTCTTTGAGTAATGAGATTTATAAAAATATAAATAAATCAACTAGATGGTATTAATAACGAAGTGATAATGCAACAATTTCAAAATATGAAATCTTGTCGGAAGAAATTGTAAAACTTCATATATCTATATTCTTTTAGTTGAACAATTGTATCACTATATATTAGAAAGTTTAAATTATCAGATTTGTATAGCGTAAGTTTTTGAATGTCCTACCCTAACCAAAGTTCCTGGAGTCGCCATGGATCCTCACCAGTAAAACATTTTCAGTAAAATTTGAAGAAAATTGAGGAAACAGGATCTAGCACTCTTTTGATTGAGTAGCATATCATTCACTGACCAGACCTCAGAACAGTTCAAACTACACTTTTGTTCCCAATTGAGGACACCATAAATTTTGGATGAACCTTTCTTATTACAGTGGCAGTATCACACGTTAGATCTTTTTGCCTCTATGATTATACTTCACAGCCTTGAAAACAAACAACAATAACATCTCCCTTCAGATTAAAAAAAACAAACAAACAAACAAATAGATTATCAGATAGCAAGCACACAAAAATCAGGTTATTATGTAGCAAAATACCAGAAATTATTCTACAATGATTTAGAAAAAAAGAAAAAAAAAAAGAGCAAAGTCATTAAGGCATTATCAAAAACAAAGAGGGCTCTTCCAAGATCTAGTGTGGTATACAATGGACAAACACAATTTCCATGGAATGTTTAATAAAATCCTTTGCTAATAATTATACCAAGTCAATGGATATCAGTTATGAAGCACGGGTACTCCAAAAATAGTGCCGTACGAGTACCGGGTGCGGGTACGCGTACCGGTACAGCAAAAGAAGGTCCGGTACGTTTGGGTCATTCGGGTACGCTATGGGTACGGCGTGGGTACGCCAGGGCCATTTTTTATTTTTTTTCTGCCCTTGCAGATCAGCAATTATTTTTTTTTATTTTTTTTTTTGTTGGTGCCCTTACAGATCAGTAATTTTGATGTTTCTCTATTGTTCTGTCTGTCTGTATAAATTGTATAAGCATATCAGCAAATGATTTTGATGTTTTTAAAAAGCAATTTGAACCAAAAAAAATAACAAGGCCTATAAAGGGTAGTTCCGTGTATGACTATACATTATGCTTTTGCTTTAGATCCTCCTAGAATTTCTTTATAAAATCTTTAATCATGACAAACTTTGAAGTTTATGCACAAAACATTAAAAATTGATACTATATTAGTTGATTAGTAGTGGTTTGGAATGATGCAATTTTATGTATTATGCAAATTGCAATTGACAACCTGCCCCAATTGAGAATTTTTTTTCCTTTACTGTTGGCAATTAATTTTAAATCTTTCTTTGGTCCCCTGTTATTTCTTTGGTCTCACCCTATAAAAATAACAAATTGATGAGCAAAAAGAAAGATTTTAAAAATAAATTATAATCACAAATTCACAGTGCATAACATGTCAAAGTGAGAGATTTCACAAATATTATTTTTAACGCTTAATGGTTTTAAATTATAGGAAAATGAGTAGTTCTTTTTTTAGTTTTGATATTTAATTTTAATTTGTAAGTTGGATCCTTTAATAATAATTATATTTCAAAAAATATATATATATATCGACGTACCGCAGCCGTACCCGTATCGTATTTTTTTTGAGTTTTGCCGAATCGGCGTACCCGCACTCGTACCCGTACCGTACTCGTACCCGCACCCGTGCTTCCTTGGATATCAGAAACTAACCCATTTGAAAAACATATACAATAGCAAAAGATAATGCAATGAAATGAAACAGAAGGTAACAAAAAGATTTGTTTACCCTCACAGATGTTCATGAGTAAAAGACATTGAGAGGTAATGAATATAAATCATACCGCTTTTCCATGCTCATATGCACTATCCAACAGATATGAATACTCCAAGTCCTCAAAACACTTTTGTAAAGATGATATTGGCTCATTAAAGTATACAGGTAGACAAACTCGCGTTAGATCTTTTCCAACATTGTCTTTGATTATAGACCAAAGACTGACCCCTTTCTCCTTTTCGACTGGATCTGGAAGTTTCTTTCGCCTTTCAATTTGTGGATATGTAGAGTTAATGGTTTCCTTCACTGCATCTAAGTTTTTAGCATCAATTTGCTTTTCAGGACCCATAAACTGAACTGCACCTCCAGTTACAGACCCACAACAAATGGCTGATTCAGAGAAGCACTCTTCCGTGTCAAAATAGGAGGTTTCCTCTTCATCTGAGACATTCTCAAGCTCTTGTTTCTCAACATCATCAGATGATTCGATTGTGCTGCATTCTGAACCCAAAGATGTGTCAGTGTATATTGAAGAAATGGACATGAACAACTTGACAGGGAATATATGGTGATAAACAAAAGGTTGATGTTGGCCTTGAATGTTGAGAAAGAATGGAAAGGGAAGCAGGGAGGTAGATGTTCACACTTAATGAAGATGAAGGATGAAAAAGATTATGGAAAACAAGTTGTGAGGTACCGAGTTATGGCATTATGCCTTTAGCGAGATGGGATGTTCAACCCACAAAATATGACTGTTAGAAAATCTAGGATAATTGAGTCCTCATGTAGATATAAAGGCTTATTATAAAAGGAATTTGTTGGGCTTCAGACAAAAGGGAGAATATAAGTCTTATTACATGACTAAATATGGGTGCACCTGTGTTTCATAGATTTTTTTATGGCCGCTATGAACCCACGTCCACCAAATATGACAAGAGGAAGACATATGAGTGTGGGATGTATTTGACACATGTACCTAATTTAGACATTTGGATCCTCTAATTTTTACTATATTTGAAGAGAAATAAGAAACTCATGTTTGCTAATAAAAACTACATTTATAGCATTTCACATTGGTGAAATATAGAAAAAAAATTTCTTAAATTCTATTTAATTTCAAGAATATTTCTACATACTTTACAACATCTTATTCAAGAATATTATATAATATGCTATGTATACAAGTGTCCATGACACGTCCTTGTACTCATATCTAACTTTTGAATACATATTCCATCAGGACTGGGAACTCCTCCCGGCCCTCCCTGACCAACCGGCTTCCCAAAACTGTGAAAACTACTGAATTGACCAGCGAAGGAGTGGGAGAAAGATCCCTATCTCGAAGATTTAGATTTATGAAGGGCTGATGATTAGACGTACACTGGCACCCGATAATTATACTTGAGCCCATGCAACATAGGGGATGCACACACATACACACTTACCACCACCATGTTTGTGTGTAACGATTACCACATGTAAAATGGGGTTAGGAAGTTTTAACTAAGGCATATCAAATTTTTATGATTACCTTTAATACAACTCTAAAGTTAGTTAGTAGTTACAGACTATCATGGAAATACCAAAATATAATGTGAAAAAGTTTCAAACACCATAGGGTGTGTTGCCTTTATAATGTAGAATAGATATAATTAATCTATATATCATTCTTAGTAAGCAATAATAAATAACGAACTCTTCAATAAAAAATATAAAAAAAAAAAAAAACCACTTAATTAGTATCAACACTTCTCAATCCGTTACAAAAAAACAACTCCCTCGCTCAAATGAATACAAATGAACTGCATTTGAGAAAATATTATATTCAAGGAGAGAAAGAGATAAATAATGTATATCACATGTACCACTATGTTTTCCACGCCCTAAACTGGAAATTTCATGCTTTGTCAACTGGTATTCACCATCATGAATTGCCGAGCCTTCAGCTTCAATATTAGCAGCCTGCATAAGCAAAAGAAAACTCACTAATCTACATAATAAAGCACATTAAGTAGACATATCAAATATGCAATGTAATAGGAACCATTAAAATATTGTCAGATGGAAATGACAGAAGAAAACCAAGGAAAAGTAACAACTGCAGAAAATTGTCCATCAAACAGAAGTTAACAACAGACGCTTAACTATGATATTAGTTTGACTTCCTATATGTCGTGCATCATGCTAAAAACTGGATATTTTTCCAGAATCAACCATTTTGATTCAATAAGTTAAACTGCAATATTTAATTGACGTAACTTGCAATGCCATTATATGGAATATCTTTCATTTATCCAGCAGTTTCTTTAGTATGCTATGTCAATTTTTCATGTGACCAACACACAGTTCAGATTCTCTCGATAACATTATTAACAATTATAATTTGACGTAACATACATAATTATCCTAATTTATTGTTTTCTTTAAAGTAAAAATAACCCAGACACATTTATTGCAAATATCAAGAAGCATCCACAATGTCATAAAAATATTACGATAAATCATGGCTTCCTCAGTAACACAGTCACCTAGTCTGAAAACATACACATGCACACATCTCTGCCATATTCACTCTAACAAAAACTCTCACAAAGAATGCCAAAAACAAGTATAATAGATCGCTGCAGAAAAACCTCAGTAACTCCTATCTGCTTAAGGCTTCTACAGCTCCAGGCCTGTTATTGATTCACTGACATTAACCAGTAGAGGGGGCAAAAAATGGAAAAATGTGGAAAAACAGAAAAAAAAATATGAATTATGGTCCTTTTAGTTGGAAAGGATTTAAGTTGTAATTATACAGTTTCTAGATTTCTATGGATAGCTTACACTTTTAATGTTCTAGTATCTTTCAGTTAGAAGACAAATTTTGTTAGCTACTTGGTTGTACGAAATATTTAAATGTGACTGGGTTTGGCACTTGAAAATTAAGTGGCAGTCAGATACATAGTTCAAATATGAGGCGGGAAAAAGCCAAATTGAGATCAAGGTTATCATGGTAGAGACGTAGAGTCCAACGCCATTAACCATCTATACAACCTTATCAGGCAAAAATGCACCTGATGCAGCAAGAATAATATAGCTAAGTTTTTTGAAATTGTAGAATATGCTTTTTGCTTTTTTCCTTCTTTCTTTTATTATTTTTCCTTGGTTCCTACTTAAGCACAATATAACGAATTCATACGATAGCTATTTATTCCAAATACAAATTACAAAATACAACCATAACATGTTCAACCAAACACAATTATCTCAAATGTGTCGCTCCACAACGCATCTATATAAAAAGAAATGAGATGTTGGATGAATGAGCGCATCCAAATAAAGTGTCCCTAATGAAAAAATAGAGGCAACGGCATTTTATTAGGATAAGATGGTAAAAGATGAATAAGATGCATACTTGGGGTAAATTCTCTTTGCAACAAAAACGAACACAAAATAGAATGTGGGTCTAGCCTCAAGAAAGACATGACCTAGTGTGACTCCAAAGAAAGTAGAAATTGAAAAATATCTCGTATCAATACAACACAAATAATAGTAGAATTCAAGGCTTGGCTGTGTACAGTTACACCCCACAGACAGTAGTACAGAATAGTCACAGACATTCTAACCAAGAGGGAGTTCTTGGTACTATAATTGAATTCTATTAAGGGGATTCAATCTCTTTCTTAAGACTGGGTTAGGGTAAAAAGGGGAGCAAGGACTTAATCTATACTTGTTTGGCTTTATCTGTCATTAAATTTGCTCATGATCTACAGATATATCAGAACTAACCCCAAGTAGTTGCAATATAGAGCTTAGTTAGGTATGTTTATCTGAGTTACATGAAGAGGGAGAGGGGGCGGAGGAGGGAGCGAAGGCATATAAAAATTTCTAAGCTTAGGAGCACCTATTATAAGAATGAATACATGTTTTATATATTAAACATATAAATATATTCTAACAATTTTTTTTTTCTATTTAGTTTTAATTTGTGTTAAAATATGAATGAACATTAAAAATAGATGTCAACTACAGATTATATATATATATATATATATTTTTAGCAAAACTACAGATTATATTTGTTTAGTATAAATAAGTATTATGTAAATTAGAAACTACTAAAATAAGTTTGACATGTTTTCTTTTATTTTTGTGTGATTTGTATGTTTGAGATGTAATTTCTTTTTTGACGAAGGCAAATTTCTTACAAGTTTCTTACTGTGCAAAATCTTGTTTCTTGAGAAGTAAGATGTTTATTACCCCAAGTTTCCTGCTCTACCCCAAGTAAGTTTAAAAGGATTACGTGAGCAACTAAATTGTGACTTTGTATTCCTCAAAAAAAATGTTACCATTAAGAAACAAAGTCCACAAGGAAAATTAATGCACCGCGGTAGCAAATTAGGGTAATTATTAATTTAAAGTTACCTCCAACTGCCTCAATGTGTCCAGCAAATTCGAACGCTCTTTGCAAAGAACATCAAATTGTCCTCGAATTTCAGAAAATTCTGAGAGCATGATCTGCTCACAGTCCTTAACAAGTACCTCACTGATGCCCTCTTCAAGCAAGCGCTTTTTAAGCTTCTCAGTCGATACAGATATATCATTTGGTGCAAGGGAGAGACTATCATTTAATTCTCTGAGAGAAAATAAGTTCCGAGATGAAACTAAAGCTTGTATCCAAGCCACACGCTCTTGCTTCGAGCTAGTCCTCAGATGAAGGGTTTTAGTGGCAGTAAATATGTAAAATCGCTTGTCGTCTGATTTGCTTTCTCTGAAGGAAGATACCTGCTAATAAATACAATAAGATTACGGTGTCTAATGCCAAAAATTTAGCATTTCAACAGCAGCATACTCAAACTAATACTGGGAAGTTTAATAATAAAAATCAGATAAAAAAGGATAAATCGAGTTCCAGAGCAACTAATAAAGACATTTGCTTCAACCAACAGCACTTAACAAGAGAAGAACCACAAAACACTTTTATTGATTTTAATTACATTATTTAATTTAATTTTTTTTTTTAACAAAACTTTTTAATTCCAATAATGTTATAAGCACTAATTAATGATGTGATATAATTTAAAAAATTTTTGATATTTATAATTTGTATAATGAGTAGGATCAATAATAACGTCATAATCAGTATTAATACACTAGTTAATATATTAATTGATGCATATTCCAAAAATACTCCTTTACCATTTGTCTTCTATAATATTCAGTGTCACATCAGTCAATAATTAAAAAATAATAATTGTAGAAATTATTTATGAAGGTTTAAAATAATTAGAATCACAATATACCTTATAATACAATTTTTACACCCACATCAAAATTAATGACTCAAATCTCCACTATAGATGTTAAATTTTTCTGGATGGCTGTACTTTTTACCAGAAAAGCAACATATAAATAATGGTGGCGAGCAAAGAATCCGGTTGAATTGAAACCCTCTTACAGACAAATGATCACGCAAAAGTTGTGTTCGGAAGGGAGGATAAGCGTGAACCCCAATTAACCGTAAAACGGGTCGTCAAAGTGACCTGATTTTGCAGGAATAGGGCACTCGTGGTGTAAAAACGCCAGAAAAGCTCAGAAAATGGAGTTTTCCCAGCTTCCAAACAGTCACGACTCACGACCACCACCAAGTCCCCAGATAATAATACACAAAAAAGAGGTTACATCTACCGTTGGATCAAAACACTGTAGCAGCACTTCTCTTTATAGTATATATTTTAAAGAAAAAAGATCCGGAAGTACTTGCCATTACTACTTTTTTTCTTTTCTTTTCTTTTTTTTATGAGAAAACAAAACGATGATGGAACCAAACGATAATCAAGGATCGGAAAATGGAACAGTGAAGGTGACGAGTGGTGACGTGAGTTATGAGACAGAAGCAGCATATCGAAGAAGAAGAAGAAGTGAAGATCCGATCATCAAAGGCACAAAATCACAAATCTGAAGGCAACACTGATGTGACCACAGCTTAATACCTAGGCCTACAATGTAGCCTATCGTGGCCCCATATTCACCTGTTGATGTGACTCACTATACATTAACACCAGTTAAAACAATCAACAAAAACGCAAAGAAAGAGAGAAAACAATGGAGAAACCTCTGGGTAATGGTTTCAAGCTCAGGTATCAAAGCTATTTGGATGCAGAGACAAAGGTCAAGAAAATTTCACACACCAAAATGAGAATGATGGAAGTAGCTAACAAATGGAGTAAATTTTGAGGAAATTTTTTTTGTAATTGCTCTCTCTCTCTAAAAATGGCTCTTACCTTGAGATTAACGATGCCAAGAGTCTTGTGGTTTTTACGTCTTCCACCGGAGCTGTCGAGCCGCGAAAGGCGGCCGGAGGAGACGTCGCCGATCAACCGGACGTCTTCGCCGGCCGGAAAACAAGCCAGAGTCTCCGGCATGAGAATCTTCGAATACGAAACGACGCCGTTACGGAGCAGAAACCATCTCGATCTCCATCCTTTGCCGAAATTGGTCCATTTGTAGAGAACTCCGGCGAAGCTGGCCACAGATCCCGAGGCATTGCCGTCAGATCCGCCGGAAACCATCGCCATCGGTATACCGGAGCGGATCCTGGATTGGTCTCCGATCTCAGGACTCTCCAGAGTGATACAACACAGGGGATGCATTCCCTTCAAACGCATTCTGATCCGCCAAATTCAAATTCGCCGACAATCAAATCTTCATTTCAATTCCCCCTAAATTTCTGCAACATCAAAAACACATAAAAATCAAAACTTTGTATATATATTTGTGTTTAGAATCAGACAATGTGATTTAGGGTTTGTTTTAGGGGGGGAGGGAGGCCAGAGTGATACAACACAGGGGATGCATTCCCTTCAAACGCATTCTGATCCGCCAAATTCAAATTCGCCGACAATCAAATCTTCATTTCAATTCCCCCTAAATTTCTGCAACATCAAAAACACATAAAAATCAAAACTTTGTATATATATATTTGTGTTTAGAATCAGACAATGTGATTTAGGGTTTGTTTTAGGGGGGGAGGGAGAGAGAGAGAGAGAGAGAGAGAGAGAGACCTGTGCGTGTGAGAGAGAGCTCTGAGACTGAGAAAGGTGATGAATTTCGAAAGATTACTAAAATAAAGAGACTCGGACTCTCTTCTCTGGGTTTGGATGGATTATAAAACGTGTATATGTGTGAGTGGAGTGTTATATACGGCGTTAACGTGGTGGCAGAATCGTAATCAACGTTGAAACAGACTTTTGGCAGCAGAGGAACGACTTCATTTTCTCACTAATTAGAAAAGAGTTAGCGATATGGGCGGGGAGATGTTTAAAGTAAGAACAAATTTTAATACACATGAACGATTTTCATAGGAAATTTAACGAAAATATTTAAAAACAAATTTTAATACACATGAATAATTTTCATAGGAAATTTAAGGGAAATATTTTAGATTTGCAAAACGTATTCACAATGATACAATATGTGTTAATTTTTTATTTATTATATATTTAATGATAATAGATCTAACTCTCATGTTACATTGGATTCGTTTGGAAAGTGGATTAACTTTTTAACTTTTTAATTTTTTTTGCCTATTTTAATTTAGAGTTAAAAAACTTCGTTTGAAAAGTACTTTTGGTTTTTTTGACTTTTTTGTGAGATAAATAATGTAATAATTATAAATTAGATGTGATATTTTATCTTATTAGACTAAAAAGTTTATTTTGATTTTTAGGGTTAAAATAACCCCCAAAAAAACCTCAAACTTAACTTTCCAAACGAAACTATTATTGGAAATGAATTTGTAAATATAACATACATACACATCTTTACCGTTATTTATTTATAAATTACTAATAAATTAATAATAGGATGATTACCATTTCATATTACAATTAGTACCATGTGATTTGACATTATGTACCATTTCATATTGCAATAGTACCATATCACAAAATTATATATAGCATTAATCATATTATTTAATGGATTATGTAAAATATTAGTGCTAATTATATAGAAGGGGCTTGGGCCCATAAAATTATACTATAATAAGCTTTCGTTTGGGGGAAAAAAAAAAAAATTGGCTTAGTTTTTTGACTTTTTTGTTATATTAACCTCATTAAAAAAGTTTCATTTAAAAAGATTTTTTAATTTATTTATAATTTTGTGAGGAAAAAAATGAAATAATTATAATTTGAATGTGATATTTTATTTTATTAATTTTTTTTATCTATTTTATCTTTTATTAATATATTAAATTAATCCCAACTTATAGAAGGTTGGTTTGTCTTAGGAGAGTAAAATAGTGTGTTAAATCAAATAGTACTCCAAAATGTTAAACATAATATCTAGATGTAATTGTCTTAGAGCATAATTTTATGAGTTTGTTTATTCAGCTGTTTAGTCAAAATACACTTGCTCATTTAAGGATATTAAAGTTTTTTATAGACAAAATAACTTTGGTGTAATTTCATTATACCATCACCTTTAGCCATTACAGTCATTATTGGCCACCGACAACCAACTCTAGTCATTAATGATTTTTTTTTTGATGACTACAGCTAGTTGTCGATGATATTTTTTGACAATTCTCAAGCAAAATAAAACTTTACTAGTTTAATAATAAAATTTTACCTCTTCGAAGAATCATGGGAAAATGACAGAAAAATTTCACGTTAACTTGGAAATGAAATCTCCATGCGCCGAATGGAAAAATATATAGGTACCTAGGAAGCAACAATCTCATTAATCTTCCTAAATATAAAATAAATATAAAAAATCTCACCACATTTTTTGATAAATGCAATTTTATATTTGTTTTTAGTATTTAAATATAAGAGATTTATTTATAAATCCTATTTAGTAGACTTATAACCCAATAAGTCCATTACTTACTTGAAAATCATAGTTCTAGCTAGATATAATACAAATCTTATTACATAATTAAAGAGTGCTTTTATGAAAAGTGAAGTGAAAATAAAATTTCCTAATGTTGTGTTTGATTGAGAGATTTTGGAAAGAATTTAGAAAGGAAAAGAAAAAAGGTGTGTAAAATTAAGTAAAATATAAGTATATTTTATTTTTATTTTATTTATCTTTTTTCTTTTTTTTTTTAAAATTTATTCTTAAATCTTTCAACCAAACACAGCGTAAAACGAAAAAGGTGGAAAATACATGTTTGTATCTGTTCAGCTTTTATTGCATTTGTTTTTTGAAAGTGACGAATCAACAAATACAACAAATTACTTGATGCATTAAGAGATGTTCTTGTTTAGCACGTCACTGGAGAGACTCTAATCCGTAATTTTGTGAATCTCACAAGACATTTGGTCATTTATTTGATATAAAATTTAGAGTTTATAACATTTTTTTTATTGGTTGGTTCTGAAGTACCACGTTATCAAACTTCTTTGCATTTGTTTTTTGAAAGTGACGAATCAACAAATACAACAAATTACTTGATGCATTAAGAGATGTTCTTGTTTAGCACGTCACTGGAGAGACTCTAATCCGTAATTTTGTGAATCTCACAAGACATTTGGTCATTTATTTGATATAAAATTTAAGACTTATAACATTTTTTTTATTGGTTGGTTCTGAAGTACCACGTTATCAAACTTCTTACTAATCACAATATATTATACATCTCATATTTTTTAATTACTCAATATAAATTCGTAGGCCTCATTCACAAAAGTTGAGGTATCATGTGACGGTACCCAAGAGCAAGTAATAACTTCTCCTTGTGACATTAGTGATTGTTATTAAAATGCCAATGCCAAAATTATAATTAAAAAAAATAAAGATAAAATAATTAAAATTTTAATACACTTTTTACATATTTTAAAATATTAATATTTTTATATATTTTTTTGTACATTTTGGTACACTTTCATGTAAATCAAGACTAAAATAGGATTATAGATTGTCATTAATATTTTCCTTTCAACAATAATGTTTTAATTACAAAAATGTCAATTTACCACGTTACTTCCCTACTTTTATTTACGTCTTTTCATAATAAATAAAACAAAAAGAATTATCTTATAAATTATACTCAAAATATTCCTTAATTCATTAGTTATTTTTATCCGTTAAATTTGCCAAAAATCCACCAAAAATACAATGAATTCACAATTACTATTACAGGAAAGCTAGCCTCTCCTCACTCACCATTATTTCTTGTTGGATTCTAGGGGGAATTTAGAAAAAAAAAAATTTCCCCTGGCATTCCTATGAATCGATGAAGAAGTGACCTCACCTTCTTTAAGAAACGAAAGCAAAGTTTCCCTGAGCTAATAAGATCAAAACCACGAAATCAAAACTACCACCCTCCCCCTTAGAGATTGGGGGCTTAATTAGATAATAAGATCAAAACTTTATTGAATAAACTGAGTTAACACAAATAGCATTACTAGTTTTTAGCAAACCTTTTGACAAGGTTAATGGAGAGGATTTTGTGAAGAGTTACTATAATTTGACAATCAAAACTATTATGGTGAAATTGGATTCATTATATAAGTTCCGTTTGGGAAGTGGGTTGGCTTTTTGACTTTTTGACTATTTTTGCTGGAGCTAAAAAGCCTAGTTTAGGAAAGAATTTTTTGATTTTTTTTAAGAGAAATAATGTAATGATTATGGATTGGATGTGATGTTTTGTCTTATTAGGCTAAAAAACTTTTTTTTTTTTGTGGGTATTTTAACCAAAAAAACCCCTAAACCAACTCCCAAACAGAGCTCATTTTGTCCCAAGTTCCCTTTCAATCACAAGATCAAAGTTTGAGAAATAGATTTGTCCAAGTCCCTGCTTAATCATACCATCAAATTCAAATAAATAAATAAATAATGGGCATAAAAGATATATTCAGGTCTTTAGTTAAAAAATCAAAAAAATTACCATAAATTATCGTGTTACTTTTTTTATTTTTCTACAAAATAGTTGTGCCATTGGTTCCAAGGGGAGAGATTTGGAGTTCAGACTTATAAAGAAAATTGAACCCTCGCTAGTAGTAATTTAAATTACAACTAAAATCCTACCTTATAACCCAAAAAAAAAAAAATTGAAATGCTAGAGCCTATGGCTTATTGATTAATGTGCCATAAATTTTTATCAGGCTTTCTAACTGTCCTATCCATGATCTATTAAAATAATAACTCTGATTAATAATTTTTTTTTTTGTCCTAACACTTTCTATTTAAACTAATGTTACATGTATCAATTAGTACACTAATTAGTGTATCAATTGATAATATATCATAATTTAAGATATTTTTAATATTTATAATTTGTATAATGAGTGGGGCCAATAATAATGTCATAACTATTATTAGTACACTAATTGGTACATATAACACCAGTCTTCTATTTAACTAGCGAGAATCAGTTTGAATAGTAATTTGTTTAAATTCTATTTAAGAAATCTAAGGTTTGAGTGGCCACTACTATAAAAATAGTTAAAGATCACACTTTGAGAAAAGAAAAAAAAATCTCACTTTTATTAGAAGTGTGATAAAAAAAAATTAGATTGATATTCTTATCACACTAAATTTGATTGAGTGTGATAATATTTATTTTTTATGTCACTTTTCAATTAAGTGTGATTATATATATTTTTTTTAATCACACCTTCTAATTAAAGTGTGATTATATATACACTACTACTTTTTAATCACACTTTTTAAATAAGTGTGATTATAAATATATTTTTTAATCACACATTTTAATTAAAGTGTGATTATTTATATATTTTTTAATCACACTTTTTAATTAAAGT